GGCCGCCCGGCGCAGGCGGTCCGTGCGCGGGGCCTGCTGGCAGGCCGCGGGGTGAGCGTCCCCCCGGGGCCGAGGCCTGCGGGAGGCCCCGTCCCCGACTGTCCCCCTCGCCGAGCCCCCGGCTGCGAGCTGAGAAGCCTCGATCCCTTCGTGGCTGAAAGGGGGAGATGGAAGCCACCTCAGCCCCCTTAGGGCCAGGGAGCCATTTTTTCTGCTAGGCTTCGTGAAGAGAGTTGCACCTGTCCCAACCCAGGTGTGGAGATACCCCCCCCCTTCGCTCTCCTGGGGAAGACTGGCCCATCGCAGAGGCTCTCCCGGGCTCGGAGATGAGGTGTGGAGGGAGCTCCCTCTGTCCATTCCCCCTCTCGTCCTGCCCAGCTCCTTTTCAGTTTCTTTGGGGCATGGCTGCCAGTGTCCCAGCTGGCCAAAATTGCTACCTGTTGCTGACTACCCTGCATAGGGAAACCTTCCTTCCTGTGATTGTGGTCCTCAAGTCTCTGATGGCTCCTGCTTAACTTGATTGTTTTATTGGCATTGCTTGATCTGTGGATTGTGGCAGTGAGGTCTTTCTGCCTGTATGGAGCCTGCAGGATTTGGTGTTGGGCCTGTTGAGATCAGATGAGTGAAGTAGATGCCATTTGTATAACCAAACTGGAGAGCCAGATTGTCGTAAATAGCTCCAGTAATACCCAAGACAGCTGTCAGCACCACAGCACCAGAGGCTGTGTCTTTCTGCTTTCTTTGCAAATGTTTTTGTCACTTGAAGGCACTCGCTGAGAAGCGAGCAATGCTGAGAGAGGGCAAGAAACAGGATGTGTTTTATTTTTAGCCGCTGGTGGTTGTGTTCCTCCTGCTTAGCGCCAGTCTTGAGACTACTGAATTCTTGTATAGGCTTTGAGACTGAAAAGATCATTCACTGCCTACATCTGCAGCAAACAGGAGGCTTTGGAGCACTTTTCTTTTTTTAATTGTTGTTACTTGTTTGGGAAATAGTGTATGTCACCCTGAGCAGTTGTTAGATTTGGGGGCTTGCAGCCACTCTTGCTTCCACTGGACCAATTAAGGAAAGTTCCTTTGGATAAGCTTAGATCTTGTCAGAGATAGCTCGCAGTTGGATTCGATTTGTTTCATTGTGTCTGGCTTAGGGAGACTGGGAAAAGATGTATGAAAGATTATTTTCCTTTTATTATAACAGGAGGGTGAAGCAGCAAGTAAATTTCCTCCTCCCTGGGCTTCAGCCAGCTTTGATTTGTGATAATATGCCAGTATGCAGGAGAATCCAGAAAACACCCTGAAACGTTAATTTGCACTCTATGATAATTCCTTTTTCCTTTGCTCAGGGTAGCTAATAAAACCTGTTATGATACACTTAAAGTGCTTAAGAAGCTCTGGGAATAAATGAGAATTTTTCTACACTTCTCTAAGGCATTTTTGTTCTTATCAGTAGTTGTTCGTTCCATTTGAAGGACTGCCAGAGGAGAAAACCTTAAATGATTGTGCTGCTGCTGTAGCTTCAAATGGGATTTATTTTCTTTGGATTGTGATTGGATTCTTGATTTGACTAAACTGGAGAAGGTGGTGGGTGTATGTGGGTCCTTCCCCCACCCCCAAGGTGGCTTAAAATACAGCCATCCTCATTCTCAATATGAAATTGAGAACCTGTTGCTGCCTCTGCCATGCCAAGTGAAATGCAACTTTCTAATTATCTGAGAATTACCCTCTTTAGAAAGTAAAGAAGTGTCTGAGCTGTAAGCCCTGACTCTTACCAGGTGCTGGGGCTTTTCTTTGTGGCCTTTGTGCCTATGATAGGCAGACATCAAGAAGAGAATCTGACAGTTTAGTGAATAAATAAATGTGGGTGGAAGAGGGGTTCCTCTCAGGTCCACGTTGCCCTCGGTGTTGGTGGCTAGATAAAAATCCGCATATGACGGGTGGTGACAGAGGTATCTGCAGAAAGAATAGTCTTTCTATATCTTCATTGCCAGCTTCACCTGAACTCTGCCTCTGTTCCTGCAATATATCCTGTCATTCCCAGTTTCAAGTGCTTTGGGAAGCTAGTTAAGGGCCAGTCTGTCTTGGAGATGTTTCTCCTTTTCCCTGCTTGTCTGAAATTTGGAATGGGGGAGTTATGGGCATGGGACAGTTTACTGTGAGTTGGGTACAATTGTCTTCCTGCTGTCTCTGCATCCTGATTTGAAAAATGGGGTTTTCAGGGCTTTTCCTGGTTTGCTTGTATGCGTATCTCACATGAAGAATACTGCTTCCTTTGATTTAATAGCAAACTCAGTGCTTTGATTCTCATGACATGAACACATATTGCTGATGTCTTTCAGAGCAAGTGTATATATCCTTCTGTACTTGTGCATATATTTTAATCAAATTCTTTATAGCTAATATTATGTTTCATGGCCTCCTCATGTGATTTTTTTGGAGCTCAGATTTAATTGACTTTGGAAAAAGTAGGTATAATTGGCTAATGACTAGGTTGTGTTTTGTCAGGTTCCAAGCCCTTAGACCAAACAGTTGAAATCCCTGTTTGTGTCTGGTATTCAAATAGAAATCATGGATGATCATCTCAGGAGCTATTAAGATAAACTCATTACTTTGCTCAGCACTTTGAAATTCTTCTGGAAGAAACAGATATAGGCATATGGAGTATTATTCTCTTAAGCTACATCCTTAGTTTCTGGGTATGAAAACAGAGGAATTTGGAATATAATGTAGTGTCCATAATTTATTGCTGTGGCATCACAGGCCAAATGATTCCGATTCTTCCTCCATCTCTCCTCATAGCTAGCTAAAGTGTATAACAAATGTTAATACACTTTATTTCCTTTTCAGACTAAGAATTTGGACTTCCGCCGAAAGTGGGACAAAGATGAATATGAGAAACTTGCAGAGAAGCGGCTCACAGAAGAGAGAGAAAAGAAAGATGGTGAGTAACGTACTGACTCCAGGCAAGCTTTGCTCATTTGGCAGTTAGTCACCCAAACCCTTTGAGTTTGAGAGGGAGAGAGCAG